AGCCAGAAAGCACTGAATAGGCAGTTCAGGTCACATGGTGTCTTGATGACCCATAGTTAAATGTTCAGTTTCTACCAAAGCCCAGTAACAGACCAAGAGCCATCTCTCAAAAGGAGAATAGTGATCTGCAGAAGACGGCAAGTCCTTGCTCCAAAATCCTAGAGGCCTCTGCTATAATCCACCCATGGAGGCCTGCCAAAGACTCCAAACAGCATTCCTATCTGCCACTGACACCTCAAGCACCATTGTATGTGCTGTGTCATATGGCCCAAGTGACAGAGCAGGTTGCACAGCAGCCTTCTGTTCTGAAATCCACTCAAAACTGGTAGCCTTTCAGGTCACTCGATTAATGGGCTGGAGTAACACACCCAAATGAGGAATGTGTTGTCTCTAAAATCCAAATAGTCCCACTGGGCATTCTGCTTCTTTCTTGGTTGTAGGAGGGGCCAAATACAGCAACTTATATTTCAATTTAGAAGGAATACCTTAGCAGGCCCCACACCACTGGACCCCTAGAATTTTTACCGAGGTACAGGTCCCTGAATTTTAATCAAATTTCTTTTTCATCCCCTGGCACACAAATGTCTCACCACTAAATTTAGTATGTTTGCTACTTCTTGTTCACTAGATCCAATCAACATAATGTCATAATGGACCAGTGTGATATATTATGGAAGCAAAAAGTGATCAGGTCTCTCTGAAAAAGATTATGACACAAAGCCAAAGAGTTAATATACCCCTGAGGTAGGACAGTAAAGGTATATCGCTGGCCTTGCCAGCTGAAGGCAAATTGCTTCTGTTGAGCCTTATGGGCAGGAATGGAGAAAAAGGCATTTGCCAAGTTAACAGCTGTATACTGGGTATCAGGAGATGTATTAACTTGCTCAAGCATTGAAGCCACATCTAGTATAGCAGCCGGGTTTGGAATCACCACTTGGTTAAGCTTACAATAATCAACTGTCATTCTCCAAGATTCATCTGTTTTCTGCACAGGCCAGATAGTAGAGTTAAATGGCTGTGTCTTTCAATTCCATGATGGTTGCTAATCTTTGCAGTCCCTCCAGGGATGTGATATTGTTTTTGATTCATAATTTTTCTTGGTAGAAACAACTCTAATGGCTTCCATTTGGTCTTTCCCACCATAGTAGCCCTTGCCCTACCAATCAGGGAGTCAATTAGGGGTTCTGCCAACTGCTCAGTATGTCTATGTCAATTATGCATTCTGGCACTGGGAAAATGACCAGAGGATGAGTTCAGAACCCACTGGACCCATAGACCAAGAGCTGTCTCTCAAAAGGAGAGTCATCTGCAGAAGATGGCAAGTCCTTGTTCGAAAATCCTAGAGGCCTCCACTGTAATTCACCAATGGGGGCCTGCCCTACCAGTCAGATACTTACATTTAAGTATATACAAATTATATAAACATATATAAATAATATAAACTTATATATAAATAATAAGAAACTGTAAGTCAGACCTGAGCTAAAACTTCATTAATTTCCTGACCTACATAATCCCCTGCTTTAACTGGAGGACCACAATGACATTTTGGGTCCCCTGGAATCAAAGTTAGCTCAGAGCCAGTGCCCAGTAGTCATCGAAATGCCTGATCATTTCCCTCTCCCCAATGCAGTCACCCTGGTAAAAGGCCATAGATCTCCTTGGGGAATATTGAAAGAAAGATTAATAGCATAAATGTCGGTAGTGTACTGAGGCCCTTCCTCAACAGGATGCTTCCTCCCCTTCATTCAAAGGGCTCTGGGTCTGTAAACGGTTTTAGGTCTGGAAATTGATTGAGGGGCCATGATTCTCTGTTATTATAAATCAAATTTGTCTTTTGTACACTCAACCTGGAAGTTTTCTGCTTATATAAATTAAGTAAGAATGCAGTAGGCTTCCTATCAGTTTCACTTCTAGGAACACCATGATTAATCAGCCAATGCCAGGGTTATACAGGAGCCAGACTCTTCTGATTGCCTCTTTGCCTATGCTGTCCATTATGGTAGCTATGCCCACAGTGCTTTTGATGGTAAGTGCCACCACTTGACCCCTGCCACCTTGGGGTACAATTATTCCCATGGCATTTATATTTTGTAGGTGAGTAACTGCAGTGTTTACTGTAAGATTTGGCATAGAGAAGAGCAATCACAGAGCTCTTCAAGGATGCTGGAGGTGCTGCCCTCACAAATCTGGTTTGCAGAATATTGATCAAGAATATATCTTCTGGACCCTTACAGCTGTGATAAGTAGGTCTAAAGTGACTGATCCACTTCAGTATCCCAATCGTCCTAAGCCTTGGATTTCTTATTCTACATTAAACCAAAGGAGATCAGGCATTTCCAGCTTGCTCACCATGGCCCATCTTTCAATTCATATTTTAGCTAACCAAGCAAATGAACTATTAAAATATTTTTTAACTCCCCAAGCTACAAAGTTAAATGTAGAATCCATGCTTAGTGTGCCCAAATCAGTAATTCAGCCTGATTCAACTCTATGTTCCTTCAACCATTATCCTATACCCTTAATACCTTTTCTCATACTTGTTCTCCAGATTTCTGCTTATGTGAATTGGAGAACACAAGCAGATCTTTTGTAATGTAGCACACCTCCCTGTGGGTCACACTCTGAACCTCACCTTTAGCGGCTCTCTGGGACATTACTCTAGTTATAGATCTAGAAGCAAACAGGGCTGTTGGGGGTGGGCCCTGAGGAGAATCAACATTGTCTTGCCTGGCAACTGCCTCAGAGGAGGCCATCACTGTTGCCTCAGGCAGTACAGAGTTTATCTCCTCAGACAAAAGTGGAAACGCTGATGGCAGCATGGGTCAGGGAGGGTATGTTGTCACTGCTGGGGATAAGGAAGCTATTTTCTTCTGGCAAAAATGTTTTATCAGAGTTTACAAGCTGAGTGTCTCCAGCTTCATCAGGGCCCTCCCACACATCCCCATTCCAAGTTGCAGGGTCATGAATGACCCCACTTTATAGTAGACACCTGGTGAGGCTGGGTGTACACATTTGTTGCAAGTCAGTTACTCTCATGATAAGAGTTTGCATCTGTTTTGCCACAATTTCAGCTCTTACTCTATAGGAGATAAGACTGTCACTCAGGGAAAATTTAGTAGACAAGATTAGATTAGAAGATTTCAGGCTCTGTATCTGCTTCTGAAGCCAGGAGTTAGAGTCCCTGAGTTCATTATTTTCTTGATCACTTTGTCCGATGAACTTAGAAGCAACCAGTCAGCTGCATTATGTTCCTTGGTTCTTCACATGTGGTCAAAGGTATTAGGTAAAGAGTTACTAAACACCTTACCTCTCATGGGTGGTGAATCAAGAGTGTCAAATGTATTTATTTTGCATAACTCTGTAAACAGTTCTTGCTAAGGACTATCAGTGTTCTCCATACTATTTGAAGTAAAGTCCTTAGCATTTTGGAGTCTAATCACAGACTTAATACAAATACCCCAAAACCAATGAAAGAACATCATTCTTAATATTGTGTTTCTCTAGAACCACTCCTGATACCAAAATCTATATTAGTCAGGCTTCTCTAGAGGGACAGAACTAATAAGATAGTGGTATATATAAAGGGGAATTTATTAAGGAGTATTAACCCACACAATCACTAGATTTCACAATAGGCTATCTGCAAGCTGAGAAACGAGGAAGCCTCTCCAAGTCACAAAGCTGAAGAACTTGGAGTCCAATGTATAAGGGCAGGAAGCATCCAGCATGGGAGAAAGATGTAGTCTGGGAGGAAAATCCAGTCTCATCTTTTCACATTCTTCTGCCTGCTTTTTATTCTGGCCACACTGGCAGCTGATTAGATTGTGCCTACCCAGATTGAGGGTGGGTCTGCCTTTCCCAGTTCGCTGATTCAAATGTTAATCTCCTTTGGCAACACCCTCACAGACGTGCCCAAAAACAATACTTTGCACCCTCCAATCCAATCAAGTTGTACTCAGTATTAACCTTCACAACCTCAGAGAAATTAGATATCCTTTTGCACCCAAATATCTATGATTGGACATATATGAAAATAGAATTTAGAAATCAAGTAATTAAAATATGGGGAATTATATATAGAATATAATTTTTCTTCAGTTGGTAAAAGATTAAATTGATGTAATATAATAGAAAATACAACAAGTCAAAATACAAAAGATAGGAAAATAAAAAATGTTTAAAGGAGTGATCAAGCCAAGTGTTCCAACAGGTGTCTCATAATGTTTTTTCCCAAAGAGAAGAACAGAAATAGAAATTCCACTTGACCCAGCAATCCCATTACTGGGTATATACCCAAAGAACTATAAACTGAACACCTATGTTCATTGCAGCCCTGTGTACAATAGCAAAGACCTGGAACCACCCCAAATGCCCATCAATGATAGGCTGCACAAAGAAAATGTGATACATATACACCATGGAATGCTATGCAGCCATAAAAAAAACAATGAGTTCGTGTCCTTTGTAGCAACATGGATGAATCTGGAAACTATCATTCTCAGCAAACTGACACAAGAACAGAAAGCCAAACACTGTATGTGCTCACTCATAGGTGGGTGTTGAACAAGGCGTACACATGGACTCAGGGAGAAGAACATCACACACTGGGGGCAGTTGGGGGGGTAGGGGAGAGACAGTGTGGGGTTGGGAGGAGGGGAGGGTGGTGAGGGCTAACATGGGAGAAATGCTAGATATAGTATGCACCTAAAGTAAAATAAATAAATTTAAAAAAAAAGGAATCAGAAAGATGAAGATGATTAACATATTCTTGCATAATGCATCTGTTAATGCCTCCTTGAATCTGTGTGCTGCTGAATGGGATGGGAAATTCTTTGAAATGTCTAGGAAGTCCATGCCACTGATTATGGGTGAAAAATGGCTTCATACACTTGCATAATAATTATAAATGATGTTAAAATAATTATTTGTGATATGAAAAAATAGAATAAAGGAAGATTATTTGTCTATGCAAAAAAAAAAAAAAAGAAATGTTGAAGATTACTTCTTGGTCTTTTGGTTAAGATCAACTGTAGTATCTATTCTTGTCAGTTTAATATGTGATACATTGCTTGTCTGAGACAACACATTAAATGGACTTTTGGAACTAGGAAATGGACTAGAAAGTTGCTCCGTTTACTCCATACCACACATTGATTTGATATTGCAGTACTTCCAAAAAGAAAGAAAGAAAAGGCCGGGCGCGGTGGCTCAAGCCTGTAATCCCAGCACTTTGGGAGGCAGAGGCGGGTGTATCACGAGGTCAAGAGATCGAGAAACCCCGTCTCTACTAAAAAAAAATACAAAAAATTAGCTGGGCATCGTGGCGCGTGCCTGTAATC